AAACCCCGGGAGGCTGCCATCCGCTTTGTACCCTGATTCCCCAGGGAAGAGATGCTGCTTCTGCATGCATTGCATTCCTCCCCTATCACTGGGCAAGTCCCACATGATTTTGCTGTGGATCAAATGAGCCGTTGTGGGGAGCTTGCGTGTGCGTTGCAGGGAGGGGAACATGAAGCACTTTTGGGAGGCAAGCGGCAAGGAATTCCCTAGCATTTCCAGCCTCTTCCTTTCCCCTGTGTACAAATCATTTTATTTCTTTCCTCAAGTGCCTTGTCCTGGGACCCCATCAGCTCGAGTAGGTCACTTTTTTCTATGACTGCTATTTCACATAGTAGCCTCATCTCCTCTATCTGACAGTCGGTCATCCCACTTTTGCTAATAAAAGCTAATAAACTTCCAAGCCCTTCTTAGCACACTGCTGCCCGGTGTGCCAGGTGGGGGAGTGAATGTATAGATGAGCCCCCTAACCCAAACCTGAACCACCCCCTGCAAGAGCAGCTGGGAAAGGAGCCACCCCTCTGCTGCACGGCTGAGCACTCCTGTCCCGGAGAGTCCTTCAGAGGAGCCAGGGACCACCGCTCGGACTCCCACGCAGGACTCAAAAGCAAGACCAGAAAAGATGAACTGCATTAGAAGTTACTGGCTGAAGCCTGGCGTTGGACTTACCGTGAGCACCCGCTATTCCTGGTGCCTTCTCTGGTCTGCAAACTCCCATCCTGCTCAGTGACTGGCTCTGCCCAGGCCCACAGCTGCTCTGATGGGACGTGTGGGCTCTCCCACGTGCCCGCGACTCTTTGCTCAGCTCTAGGGGCCGGGTTTCTTTCCCACGCCCCCAGACACATGGGTCAGTTTTTCTTTCATGTCCCAGCTCAGGGTGTCCCCTCAGCCCTGGGCAAACGCCGTTCCTTCTCCACAGCCAAAATCTGCCTGCAGACTCTGCGTGGAGGCTGCTGTAGCTCCGGGTAGGCTTCAGACCTAACCGGAGCCGTCTGCACAGGCAGTGCAATGCCCTAGGCTCAGTTCACGTCCTGCTAGCAGCAGGGACACGATGGTCATGGGGAGCGGGCTGGTCTCCGGACTCTCCCTGCTTGTGTTGGGAGCCACTGAGCACTGCTGACAAAGGCAGCATCACCTCACACACTGCTGCTCCAGTGCTTCACCGCCCTCCTCGTGAGAAAGTTTTTCCTAATATCCAACCTC